CTGACTTTTCTCTCAAAGTATCCTCATCAAATGAATGAATGCATCCGTCTCAGATTTGTGTTACGTTGATAGAATTTTCATTGGTCGGGTGGATGTACGTGCCTTCCAGATCGTGCTTTCGCATCTCAATCAGAAATTAAATGATGTGTAATTATAACACTAAATTGAATGTATACCCACTGTTTTAATACTATATTTGTTTAACTCCGTCACCATTATAACTTGTACGATATACTTGTTTCATTTGTACATTTCGTTTGTTGTATGCATTCACCCAGTTTTACAACATACGGCTACAGCCCACAGCTTGTCTGTTCCAGCGGCAATGCAATTATCATCGTCTGAAATGAAACAAATAAATGTGTCAGTCTTCTATCATCAAAACCATCTCAACTAGTTAGTTTAATATAATCTGGCCGGCGCACGCTTCAGTTTGAATTTACCCACACAGTGCATGTTTACTATGATTTGATTATTTGCTTACTTTACTTTACTTTCTATGTCCGCAGCAACTGTGAGTTTACAATTGTTTCTCAGTACTTATTCAGTTTGAATTTGTTGGTTTCTGCCAAAACTGTAAAACGCCCTCCGCGTTGGTTCATGGTTACTTATTGTGCACTGCCCCACACAAAAATAGTTAGCATAAAGCAAAACTGTTACCTACCATCGATATAGGCACCGTCAGTTTCTTTCCATGACGTACGAACCGAACATCCAGTCAGAATCCATCCATCGTCGCATTTTACCTTGGCTTCGGCATTTTTAACCTGCTCGCTAAACTTTGCTTTACATTTAAGACCAGGAGCACCACAACATGCAGCATGTCCCGTAACACCTTGAATAATATATATATTAGAACCAATTATTTTTTTTTGATATCTGGATTGCCACAACTTCGTTCAGCATCCATCAATGTTTACCACCTGGTAGTGCGGGTTGTGGGCGAAATTTTACATTTTTGTACAGTGTCAAACATTCAACCTATGGGATCTGGACATTTGTCAATACCCAAACATGCCAATTTATTTGCACGACTATTTTTACTGTTTAAGTTTCTGTTCAATAAAATAAAGATCATATAATCGCTGAGGTGAAATTCCCGGACGCTGTCAAATTCCCTAAATAAGCGAGTGTCATTGCATTCAACGTTCTATGTGGAGACTTTTTTGTATTTAAAATCAACAAAATATATACTGAGTCGGAAACCATTTGGGGGTGTAGTTTGGTCGAATAGTGATTATATATTAAGATTCGATATCTAAATTTAGTTACCTATCCGACCAGAGACGGAAGACTGATGTTATAAAATGAACAACACGGCAACTACAACGATTCACATGAGCAATAGTTGTGGAATTACTAATGACAAACTCTAAATACATACCCTTGCCAGAATATCCGTTAACTCCGTAACAATAGTTATCAGTGATATCAGTCAATTCTGTCGGGTAAGAAGGGACATTGGGCTGGGTGCCATCAAGATTTTGCCAATAAGTGTGTACTGCACATCCTACAAAGACATAACATAACTTGTGAATCAAGGGACAATGTAGATTTGGACAAAGTAAATCGTCTTTTCGAAGCAGCAATCTCTGTAGACAGCCACAAAAATTACGACAGAAGATTAGTTTAAAAGGGAAATACCTGTTACGGAGGCACTCATACAATCGATTACATCCGGGCACTGTGCTATACTGATAGCATCATCTGAAGTCTCGGATTGTTCACCTTTCACATATTGGCATGTCATTTTCGGCCAATGGCAACATCGAGCATATGCATACACCCCTTGAGATAAAATACATGCAGGGTTTAGAAACTTATGTCTGATATCATCTGATTGGGTGATTATTTGTTAACAGGCACTGAACAATTTAAATAAACGTAAATGTCACAACTATTTTCTGTTAAAGTCTTTGAAAGCACAACATAGTAACATACAAGTACTCGAGTGACATGTTGCATCCCGAATAATATACAGGTGTGTAATTTGCCTACGATGTTGTTATGAAGTGGAGACTGACAAGTGAATATTTAATATAAAGGTAATTGACAATATGTAAGCAATAGTTTTGTCTGTTGAGTTTCAGGACTAAAACAAAATTTGCATATAAGTGAATCTGCTGATCGTTATTACCGTTGACACCCAATATCTATTCTAAAGGCCGCATTATCTGTTGTTCTACCTGTGACGTAAAAATACACTGCACACCGAAGAACCTATAGATTGTGACAACCAAACTGAAAACAGCCGACCAGGAAAATCAAAACCGCGGTCTTCCTGGTATTTGAGAAACTCCATTTACGGAAAACGCATGTATTTACTTAGTAAAACTATTAATTGTTATTTGTTTGTAATATGTTTTCAGACCATTGACTACCGCTATAGTTCATATAAAAGACGACCAACAAATTTCTAGCTATAATTAGCAAGCACAACTCAAAATATATAAGTCTAACCAGAGGCGGCGGCACAAAATTTTGCATTCGTGGGGGGGGGGGGTTCTTCTCACCAAACACACGACCTTACCTTAATGAAACACTATTTCCTGCATTTTGAGGGGCAAATTTTGCTGACACAAAGGGTTTCAGCTTGATTTTGGAGGGGCATTTTTTTTTCTCTGCCACTCCCCTGTGCCGCCGCCACTGCTAACATGCCAAATTAAATTAAAGAATAGCCCATATCTAAGCAAACATCGATATATAAGTATATCATGTTGGAGCCGTACGTTTGGTGACTGTATAGAGTTAGAGTAAAATGGTTAAAAAGTAATTTTTCATTGAATTTGTATAGTGATTCGAACTACCATACCAGCATTGTAATTAACTGGTTTTAAGACAGCTCGCTCAACGAGTTTCAAATTCTTACCTTTTCATCTACTGACGTCTTATAAGATGTAAGTTTCTGGAAGCTATAGAAAGGGTGATAATTTTCTATATTTTCAAGCTGAACAGAATAGTTTAATACACTTAAATAAATAATGAACGAATAACACTCACCCGTTCCTTTGTAACCATTTTGAGCAACACATACAGCATTGCCATTGGTGTCAGTTTTGAAGAATTCGCCGTCTCGTTTTCCATGCCCCTTCCCCGGTGAATAGCTGCTACATCCTGTCATTACTTCGCCGGATTTACATTGTACTTCGGATTTGTCATCATCTCCAGTGCCAGATAATTCAGACACTCTTGTTGTACAGACTATGCACCATTCTATAAACGATAATAATATAATATACCACCTTACCTTCATTACAATAAATATATATCAAAGAATAATACAAAAGTAATACATTTCTGAATAACAAACATAACAAATTGAATATTTAGGTCTTAACCGGTGTCACGAATTTACATGTCGGAGAACACAAACCAGCGTAATAAACACACAATACATTATTTGGTCCAAATTAGATATAGAAACGCATATAAACATCCGAACAATGATTCAAAACATAAAAAACGTTCTTACCACCTTCTTCACCACAAACCTAGAACATAGAAAGACCAGAATTATACGATGAACACCAATGTACATGACTCTAAAATACGTGTGAGACAAGGCGGGGTCAAACAAATGTTTCAAGTAATCTTTACATGTTAGACATATGTACGAGTATTTCGGAAATTGGCTCTGCCTCTACGTGTTGCGTTATATACACTGTTCAACGTCGAAGTTTCTGGACATGGTTAAAATTTAACCGGCGTCTTAAATTCGTGTTGTCTATTACACCTTGTAAAGCTTCACTGAATCCCCTGCGTCTTGACAGATTGTTTTGCTACTAATATTCATATACTGACACTAAACAGCTCGTATGTATCTTGATAAACACTGCAATGAATACAATATCACCTACCGTACTGACACAGACGACAGTCAGAACAACACATACACAAAAAGCAATATTCATGATTTTTCTATTTAGTTCGTACACGCTACTGTCAAATCGTTAATGTAAATTGAAAACTATCTTCACATATATAATAAACAAAAACGGTGTGCTATTATGGTAACATTGATGGACACGCAATGTGGGAGCATTCGACACGCAGACGATTGAAATTACATGCTAGTTACATACATACATACATGTGCTCGTGGTATTATTTTTTAAACAAGAAAGTTTACAATTGTCTGGGGCTAGGCACGATAGCGTGTACGATAACGTCTATTTTTGGAGAGCATGAACATTAAACTGTCATAGTATTTCTCAGGAGCCAATGATAAAAATGGATCGCTGGACAAATGCGGGCAATAAGTTGTGCAAGCCAGTATGTGTTCGCCCATTTTGCGGGGCGGCAACTAAAACATTTCATTCGGAGAGAAGCGGGGAGGAGAGTGGAAAAAGGAATACCGAGTGGGAATCCATCGCTCGTATTACATTTGTTTGTTTCATTATATTTAGTTCAGCGACCAGATCTGGACCTGAATGGGCATACACATCTCTATGTTAACCGTTACCACATTACACAACTTATATTTTTTTAATATCTATAATTTTACTATTCAGTCACTGGAATCGATTGACAATAACCCTTGCGTGTGCATTCATGTCAATATATGCAGTTACTGTGACTGGCGGCCATTTTGTTTTAATGAATGTGTTCTAGTGCCATATCTCTGAGTTGCTTTGGCTGATTATGTTCAAAATTTAAATATTCATTATACATCATGTCATAGATATACAGATAAATTGGTTTGACGATCTTATTCAAAATGGCCGAATGGTGGCCATTTTTGTACTAAAAAACATCAAATATCAAGCATTTCCGGCATTTATGGATGGATTTCGTTCAAACTTGGCACATACATTAGACATTACGGGTTCCTGATGCACGTCATTTTATTGTTCAGATCGGATTCAAAATAGCTGACTGGCGGCCATTTTGTTTTAATGAATTAGCTTCTAGAGCTATATCTCTGACTTGCTTTGACTGATTATGTTAAATTTTTAAATATTCATAATACATCATGTCATAGATATATAGATATATTGGTTTGACAATCCTATTCAAAGTGACCGAATGGTGGCTAGTTTTGTGCTAAAAAAAATATATCTTGAATTCAATAACTAACGAGGACTGTGCTATGCATGGCTTGTTTCTAATTTGGTTAGGTTAAGTGCGACTATGAACACGTGGGGGCATCGAGTGTACAATTAAAATCATCACCGAGTATAATTGGGGCACAGTGACCGAGTCACAGTGATTCACGGCGGATATGCCTGCTACGATCGTGAGAGTTTGAGGAATCCACGAATAATAGCCAAGTGAATCGGTCTGAAGTGTTGAGGGTGGGTCTTACGTGCGCCAGTCAATCATTCATGGCACAGAATTATATGTCAACTATGTAGTTACATAGAGATTCACCATTCTTGAGTGTACTCGTAATTTCTGGATTCCAGGCTATATACCCCCAGATAGTGGTGCAATAGAATGAAAATCCAAGATGGTAGCTGAACCACGTGACTGTTTCAATCACATTCTAGAACGAATCAATTAGAATGTATTCCTGAATTCTCATGCCAAATGGTACAGCTGTTTTTGAAAAGTCATTTGAAAATATAAATTGTGTAGGGAGAAATGTACGTGTCTCATGCAATAACAAACGATTTAAAGATGGTGTTTACATTGTACATACTAGTACATCATCTACTAGTTTAAATGAGCTAACGTATCCATTGTATCGAATATTCGACTAAGACTCGTCTCTTGATGCTAAAACGTCGATTTCATTGCTTCAAGTTGGATTTCCAAACCTATCAAAGTTCCGATTTTTTGTGTAGCAGCTCTCCAGAGTATGTGTAGGGATAATCACTTTAAAAGCTTTGGCGGTCACATGACTTTGACCGCCATTTTTAATTTTCGAGTAACATTCAAGCAGAACCAACCAAATATGGTTGGCCACTGGGATCCACTGATATGTTCTACCCAACTACTGTTTCAGATGTTAAATTACTAGCGTCAATGGAGTTACTTAGCTTGACGAAATGCTCATGTAGGAGAGAGTTTTGTTTTAAAGAGTTTACATGTAGCACATAGTTTTAGTTGTCATAGTTCTAATCTTGCATATACTGTATTATGTCCATATTAAGGAGGGCAGCCATGCTTCAATGGAAATACAAAACAGGCAAGGCTAGTGGACGATGAAGATGACGGAAAACAAGAATTATTGTTACTGTGTACATCCAGAAACCTTTATAATAAAAATTTATATAAAAATATGATATTTTGGTAACATTGATGGACACGCAGATATTTTGATTACATGGTAGTATTTATCGATAATCTTGGCACTTTTAACGTCGTCGAGAATAGTTCTACATATTTGGCGACGCCAGATACAATAGTAAAATCCTGCACCAAACAAGCGTTCGTGGTATTATTGTTTAAACAAGGAAGCCTACAATCGTCCAGGACAATACACGAGACACGATAGCGTGTAGGATGACATCTATTTTTGCTGGGCAGGAAGAGCCAATGACAAAAATAGATCGCTGGACAAATGCAGGCAAGTAGTTGTGCAAACCAGTAAAACTGTTCAAGTTAAATTTCAAGTTCATACGTCCCTACATATTATTTAGACCACACAGAGAAATAATTACCATAAAGAAATATACCAGAACATTACAGGTTTGACTAAAACATCCCATTTGACTGATGGAGTATACCGAAAATTGGGGAATGGGTTTATAAAAAAACAATATTTATTTGTATCAATACAGATATCATAACATGATATCAGACAAGTCAATGGTTGAATAGATTCAGCAATGACAATATTGACGTCATACTTCCACAATAAACATTATTTTGGTAAATAGTGTAATTACATATTCCAATAAAATAATTGAGCCCATAGAATACTATTATATTTACCATTTGTAATATAAGCCATATATAAACCAATATACTCTATAAGCATAACTAATCTTTTTGCATATGAGATTATTTTTATTTATTATTGATCAATAATTTCTTTTTACTACATGTAATTGCAAATACCCCTTTTATAACAAACTAAACATATTGAAACTTTGGAAGTATGGTTATAATTCGATTTCTAAATCTATTAAACTCTAAATTACATTTGAAATGTATAAACCCCAAATAACCCTATTTTTATGCAGATCTTAAACAAGATAAAGCTATACAATGGAGCTAGCTATTACACACTGTATCATAGAAATGTGAAGCTTGCATGTGAGACTTTGGCCCACAGAATAGTACCAGCATCATCTCTAAACTGAGTGTCACTTGAGGAAATTTGTGAATACTGTCGATTCGCAACAAAGACATATTTTATTGGACATTTGACATTGGACAAAAGACATTTGTTATTGGAGAAAAAAGGAAAATAATAGTGACTGTATTACTGAGAACAATTGCAAGTTTATTTTCCCTCCAGACCCCTATTTTTAAAATGGTCCATTCCTTAATATTTGTCATATCATGTCACTGTATTTTTACTGCTACACGCTGTTACAGCAGACGAAGCATGAATATAAAATGATATACATTTATATTGCACAGCTGATACGCTTATAGTGGTAACTATATATAGTTGTTTGTATTTTATACATACTGCTATGGATTCTACTAGACAATTATTTTGTTACATGATATCTCTGTTTGCTGGCAGCTTATTCTCAAATGTAGTATGGATATCCGGACCATATGCAGTGGAACGAAGAATTGTCTCAGGAAAACAGTTGAGAGAAAAGCCAGAGAATTCTATGTCCGTGAAAAACATGGCGACTAACACAGTTACTGATTCCAAACTTCAAGAAATTATTGACGATGTCAATTACCAGATGGAAGGTTCCCGACCTCACTGTGTTTGTACGAAGCCACACCATAGAGCGTCTCAGACATTGGATTTGAAAAGAAGAACTGAAGCACTCGAATTCCAGAAAGACTGGCGAACCAGTGACCAGCCATTGACTTTATGTAAAGCCATGTTGCCAATTAATTACATTGGTAATGGCATTCAGTTAGAGCCTTTAAACTCTGTTCCAATTGTAGGTATATCTTTCTCTGAGCATATTGTTTTTTCTAAAACACGTTGGAAGTTGTCCATAAAAACGCGCAAAAAACTAGGCGTAGTGTTCGTTTCTCTGCCAGCTAGTAATTCAGAAGCGTCGGCACTCGCCATCACTGGAAACTTCAGTGGAGAAATGTATATAGAGGCAGTAACATTGTCATTATTAAATCAATATATCTCTAATCTAGTCTACAGAAGCCAAGAGTATGTAATAGATGCCAGAGACAGTCTTGAGGTGAATTTCCTAAACTATACTACTCATATCAATATACACATAAAAAAACATTCACTGTCATTTCGTTACCCTATTGTAAGAGGTAATGTTTCAGAGAAAGTTACTGTTATTACGAAAACATTTGAGCGTTATGAAGCGGTACATCGCCTTGTGAACAGCGTGCATCAGTTGTATGACAAATTAACCATAATCGTTGCTGATGATTCGGAAAAACCAGTGAAAATCAACAAACCTTACGTGAAACACTACACGATGCCATACCTAGAAGGTTATTTTGCTGGAAGGAATCTAGCACTCAGCCAAGTGACCACGGAGTATGTCATGTATGTTGACGACGATGTGTTTTTTACAAGTAACACGAAATTAGAATCTCTGATCGAAAAAATGGAGCACACGAATTCAAAAGTTGATTTAGTTGCAGCAGCTATAACTGGCTACAGAAACAATTCAGGTCATGCCCATTTGATGTCAATAGCATATTCTGCAGATGGTATGTGTTATCAAGGAGTGCGTAAAACCCGCACACATCAATATTTTCCGCAGTGTCAGTGGACAGAATTGTCTCTCAACGTTTTCATTGCTAGGACTAACGTTCTGAGGAGCATAGGATTTGATGCAAATACAACACCATTTAATGGTGGACACATCGAATTCTGGATTGATGCTCTAGGAAAAAGTCAGAGCATTTTCTGTCGCGACGTTTCTGTTGGACATGACGATAAATTAATAGGAAATGAAAAGTACGAACTTATTCGTTCGAAAAAGCAGGAATCCCACCCTAAGAATATCATGTTACAAAATAATATGTGTAGTCTTCTATATTTGGGAAGACAACGATCCTTTATATAGGATTATATTAATTGTGATTGAAATACAGTAGTGGTTACAGATTTATACACAAACAATCAGTTCAGATCAGATCATAGTGAGATCATATTGGAGTATATATGTATATTTGCATTCGAAATATCTGACCTTTTGATTTCATATGCTGGGGTGCATTCATCAATCTTCCACAGCTTTGCACGCAGCTTTGTTATGTTTATTTTTGTTGGTTGCACATGTATTGGGTTTGTGTTCATGAATTTATATTTTCCGATGCGTATTTCGATTGCTAGATCCACGGTTGAGCATGATATTTCTACTATGCATTAACAAAATTTGACAAAATAGATAAATGATAGACTTTTAAATTGTGTTATCATTGATGGTTATTCAGTACGCTTATAAAACATTACTTATTTCATCTTAACGAAAAGATTAAAGGGCGGCAGTCGTCGCGCCGCGTTCTGTTCGATATGGGACTCATAGCGACGTATACAACGCGTGTAAAATACATTGTTTATTTACATGAAATTCGAACACGCGCTGCGCGACGACCACCGCGCTTTAAACAATTATTAAACTTTGCTATGCTTCACCTCATATTGTTCATTTATAGAGACACATTATGCAAATCAAGGAATTGTTCAGTACACGGATAATCCTCCAACACATGTGGCATGTTACAACCATTTTGGCATTGTTTGACCTCCGTAACCTTTGAGTTAAGATAGAAAACTGCAGTCAGCTTGATAATATTGAGTAATTTCACGCATATTTGAATTGGTAATAACATTGGGTCTTTATCTAATCATATTATTTCACATATGTTCTCAACTAAATTGTATATGGCGGTAGATGTTTTTACACACATAATAATAACAGAATATATTTATTTTTATACATTTTATCCGATTCATGAAATCTGTAACAGGCGTGATGGGATGTCTGTATGTGGAATATCTAAATATTTATAATTTTTGCGAGCGAAAGACAATGACGATGCTCTTTAATTATTATGAGGTGTACTTGTATTGTGTCAACTTGTATTAATAATTTTATAATGTTCCAAAAAGTAATATATATTGTGAAACTCATGAGGAAAGTTAGTTAAATATTCCATTCAACCGCTATTACAAATAAGACATTGGTATATTAAAATTAACATTGTTATAACAGATATGGATTTAATTTTAATTTTATTTAAAAAAATATTTTGTACTGCATATTAACAATGATGATTAAAACTTACATAGTACAATATTATACAATAAGAAATAGGACTGCGTTCAATTGAACCACTTTGACCTAATTATACTGAGAATATTTATGTATGAGAAAGCACTAATGAAAAAAAAACATTGCATACAGCTGTCACAAACATGACAAATAACACTATGAGCATTGGTTTTACATCCGTAAATCACAGTCCTCAAACGTGACAGGGATAGAACAGCGTAATTTGACCTCAACTGTGCGTGGCCATACAATTGTGCCTTGCTGCAAAGAGGCGTGACCTTCAACGTATATCCGTTGCGTTACGAGCATATAATTTGCTTTGGTTATTCATAGTGCTCTACCAACATAGTCATTTGTTTATAGGTGATTACAGACAATACCCCACCTACGAGATAATTTTGCAAATCGAGATCAACATTGTTTTGGGGGATTAAGGTTAGGCATGCACACTCATTTGTGAGTATATAGATTATGCTACAACAGAGCCAAAATTCTTGCGGCAAATTTCTAAAATCGGTGATGTTAGATTGAAGTATTAATCACTAGCACTGAAAAACAACTAAGACAAAAAACGTGCAGACGGCGCCATTTACAAAATGAAAATATTATCCCAAACATTATATCCATTTTTGAAAATACAGCGGAACTTCGTGTGACGTCATCGCTGGTACTTAAGGTACGACCGCATGTTTCCACAAGGTTTCCACTCAATATTTTGGTTGATGGGAAGGGTGACCCTGAAATCCGTGGATCCATGTACTGCCACAGCCAAACTCAAAGTGTTATTATTAAAGAGTGAAGTCCAACATAAGAGAAAACCTAGTAAACGACTCTAACTGTTGAACTCTAGTCACTGGTTACTGCAATTTATCCAGGTGACAAAATAGAGGGCTGACCACTATGACGTCTCAGCCGTGGTACCAGGTGTCCGGAATGAGTAAGCATTACTTGCTGACTAGCCACACCCATCACAACTGGTCAACTGGCACTTTAACACATGTCAAGCAATAAGGATATAATGTTGACAAGTCATTAGCAATCTATATGGAGTCGTTATTGGGAATGCTGTCTCTCATAATTTGCTTGAAGTCATATTTGGTAAACACACGTCGAACTATTACACCTGTCAGGAAATTCAGAACATTCATACACTCATACTAGTTAATTCTGGGCTTTCGGTTATTATACTGTGCTTGTTTAATTTGTAGACTCTATTTTGATGTGATATTTGGCTAATATATGAAGAGCATTGGATGTTCTCTGTTCCCTCTTGTTGCATCATAACTAATCCCGTTGTGGTGTGTGTAGTGCACATTTTTTTTTACTTTCAATTAACTAATGTAGGGGCGGGTGATATTGCCGAAAATGAGTAACCATACCAAATGTAAATAAATGTTGTACCTAGTGAACTGTAATTCCATGTACTTTATGTGGGGTCTTGTGTGTAGAAATTGGTCAATGAGCATACTTACATATATGCATAAAATTGTATTGTACTATGTTGATGTCCATCAGTCTAACTTATACCTATGTTACACAAATTGTGTAAATTTAAACCGGTTAAAAACCTGCACGAGGTGGTAAAATTATTACCAAACGCTTCAGCGTGGTATTAAGAGTTTGTTTTCAGGGGTGGGTGATACCAAGGTGG